CAGGTGCTCACCGGGTTAAAGTGTTTTTAAATATTTATTTTAAATAACTAACATTGTTATACGAAATATTCCTACTGAGTTTGTTGTTTATTGGGTGTCCTTTTAATGTTTCTTCTTATGGTAATGACTCAAATCCAAAATAAAGACTAATTAAAAACAATCTGCAACAATGAGCATGCCGTTTAACTTTTGCTGCTGTTAAATACCAATTAGATCTTGTTTTACATTTAGAAATTTGTCATAGAATGTGACTATCCCCCTTTAAACAATCTAGATGATAGATAAAAACAACTAGGGCCGGACAAATCTTAGCATCTGAAATATTACCGCAATTTAATAAAACACAATCTTCATATCGCAGAAGCATTAGATTTCGGTCACATTACAATTAAACAAAGTAAGACACTAGAGTTCTCACCCCAGGCCTTTAGGTGGCAGTAATATGCTCAAAGTAGGTTTGTCACCACACAGGACAGAAAAAGGAGAAGAAATTAAGACGGAAATCCATTTATATAAATGATGGCAAAGGGGTTATATATATATATATATATATATATATATATATATATATATATATATATATATATATATATATATATATATATATATATATATATATATCTCTCCTGCATTTTTGTTTTACCAACCTTAGTTTATTATGTTATATTTTTACAACATATTAATGTTGAATCCTTAAAGGCTTATAACATAAGCTACAGATTTAATGGAGATGCGCTCATGGAAAGATATACAGTTCATTCATTCAAAAGTTGAATCGGATCGGTATCGTCTCAGCCCAGGAATCGGCATGAGATTGGAAAAACTAAATATGTGCATCTCAACTTACCGTAAATTTTCTAATATTGGCCTGTATTCCATTGGGGGCCAGGACTCTAACAATGGCCGGACTCGTATACAGGCCGGGGCCATAATTAGAACCAACAATGTTCCTGGGCAGTTCTGAACAACTTGTGATAGTAACATACAAGTACCACAGGGGGGCAATGTTTGTTAACGAATCAAAGCCATAAGCATGGGAAGTCCCATCCTTACACAGAGATCGTAGTGGCCTTACACAATCGTTCTGATCTGAAAGACAAATGTGATTACCGGTAGGTCTGATGGTAACCAGGCAGCGTTAAAATTACAGAATTTCGTTGGCCTTTGTTGTTCTGAATTTCCCTTCAAATATATGATACTGGTAGCCTACTTCCACTTAGCCTGCCTCAAATACAATTTCGCTGTGACTGCAGAACAGTTTCCATTCATTTTTTTTAAACTTTGTTTTGCAAGTCAGTTAGACCAAGATTCCATTCTGTGTCTTCTTTTTTACGTATTGCCGTGCAGAAAAATTGCAGCTGCAGGAAGATGTCTGAATAATGATCTGTATATCGTTATGGTAACTGTACTTTTTCAATAAATGAACCTAGTATTTTATAGGTTGAAATCTTGTTTTTATTCCTTCCACTGGTAGTCTGTTTTGATCAAATTGAAATAGAGGCCTGACTCTAATTCTGGCCTCCTTCCAATAATGGCCTGGACCAAGATGTACCTGAGTGAAATAATGGCCCCGTCCTATATTAGAGGATTTACGGTATTATTACAGTGATTGTAAGGACATACATATAGTGCGAGATAACTGTAAAAGAATATGTCAATCAATTTAATACATACCTACGAGTCACATCAACGGTTTCATCTGTGAGAATTCAAATTTAGAAGTCACAGCTTGGCAACAATTCAAGCACGAATCACAAATCTACTCATACATTGCGATTGGTACTTGTATTGTTGCTAAACTGTAATATGTATTGTCACATATGAAGCGTTTAATCTTGCATGTATGTAAGAGTTGAAAACAAGCCACAAATACAGATCTTCTATTCAATCATGGTATGCTTTTTTACTTATAAAAATTCAGACACCAATTTTATAGGCCGTTATCTTAATATATACATGTATGGGGAAAAAAAATATTAAACATTTTTTTTTTACTTGTACATTGCACCTTTATGTTTTATTCTGTTTCAATCAAATGTTCCAACAGGACATAGTCAATATTTATGATACCAAACACGTTAAAGAGTAATGCTTAATAAAAAGCAAGGCATTTGGTATTTGCTGCCTTATGAAGGAGCCGCTGTGCAGGCAGATTTATGCGTGTTTATATGGAGACACTGCAGCTTGTTGAAGCCTCCCACCTTCCAGGCCAGGCTACAGAACGTTTTCTTTGACCAAATGTCACACAGGACGCTACATCCGTTCTAGACCTTATTTATACTGGTTAATTAGAAACACAATACAAACACAAACAACTCTGAGAAGTCTGTCTGCTGAAGTGCATTTGGAAACCTGCAGAGCCACTTCCTTTTTAAGCACATCATGCAGTGAGATAGATTGAGTCATTCCATTTGTGCCAACACAGTCGTGATTAGGTATCACAATGAGACCAAACGGTTAGTTGTCAGTTAATTTGCAGGTTAAAAAAACCCATGAAGTTAACTAATGTTCTACCTGTGAAACCCTCAAACTGCTACCAGCCTTCACCAAAGGGCTCAGCAGCATAACCCGTCTTCAAAAACGGCTTTAGATGAAAACAGTGAACTTTTTTTCTTCAGATAATTACTGTTTACATTCCAAACAGACCTTCTGTTTGGTAATCCTCACAGCTCCATGACCAAATGCCTCAATACAGTGACTGACAGAGATGGCTGCATTAAACTAGAACTTGTTTCATGTCACAGAAGCTTTAGAAGAGCAGATATGGTTTCCTAATGAAGGCCAGGTGATCGTCCGCATCATCAGCTACTTCCTCCTGATGCTATTCAGTTCCACAGAGATTAACCTAAACCTCTTCTACACCGGAATCAGAACATTAGAGTTGTTTACTTATCTATAGGTAGAACAATGTGCAAAAATGCTTGAGTCATTGCTTTGTTTTCCAGAGCCAACAAAGTAGATTTTTTTTATATCTCATTGTTGTTGATCAATATTTATTTGGGGTTTTCTGAGGGATATATTTGTTTGCCTAATATGATGCATATTTTTTTGGATTTGTTAAAATGTTGACACTGATCTATTCCTCTTTGACAACAAAAAAGCTCCTGAACTTAAAGGATGTACTGCTGTCATGTCTTTTTACATTTCAAATGACTTAAATAGAAACTACTGAGTTGTATTTTCCAATATAGTGATTCCGTAAAAATTCAAAAAATATCCACTGGACTTGGTTTCCAAGATTTGAAGACATTTCGCCACCTCTCCAGGAAGCTTTCTCAATTCAAATGTCTGGATCCGCAGTGAGTTTGAGTCTTATATAGACAAAGCCTTGTATCGCTTGGAAACATGCAAATGGTAACTGATGAATGGGTCGTTTGGTTCCATCGTTAGCCTGTAATATCTGAAACCTGTCTATTATTCTGAGGGTTGGTCGTTAAAGGGGGGGGGGGGGGCGTTAAGGGGGGGATTGTCTCCTGTAATACCTAAAATCTGTCTATGATTGTTAAGAGTCGGTCGTTAAGGAGATATTGTTCACCGGCTGGAGCGGGTAGGTCCCTCGTTCCTCTGTGATGACTATGACCTGGATGACTGAGAACCTTCATCAGCATATTCCAATATAGTAAATTTTCAAAGATCTAGTTGGTAATAACAGATAATCAATAACATGATCTGTCCCTCTCTGTTTTATCTCTGGTTTCTGGCTAACATGTTTATTAAACTGCCCCACAGGATTTGGTCTTTCATCTGTTTGTTTTGAACTAGCAGTCCAAGGTAACCCAAAAATACATCCTTTCAACACTTTCAAAATATCCAAATCTGGGTAAGGTCTGGGTAAAATATTAGAGTAGAATAAGCATAAACTTGAAATGAAATGCAACAGTTTAGGGAGAAAAAAACCTGTAAGCATTATTAAAAATGCAGCACCTATCAGGCATAACAGTATGACTGGTATGGTTACCTTAGTGCTTTGTAATGTTTTTTTTTTTACATTTTCTATCAGAAGCAGCACTAATCTTTCTAGTAGTTTGGGCTGCTGTAGCTAATCTATTGGACCGTTGTTCCCCTCATGCATCAATAAACCATAACCTCACTGCTGGTTCTCTGCTGTTGTTCTTTTGGGTTAAGAGACGCACAGATCAGTCTTTTCCTATGGAACTATTTCATCAAGACTAAGGCAAAAAATAAATAAATAACACAAAGTTTCCCATCTTTGCATCACCATTCTTTATAAAACTGAGAAATTATGAATCTGAATGTTGTTGACTGACATTAAAAGACTAAAAATATCAGCATCTCAGTTTAGATCCACTTCTTGAAATAGAAATTTATATATATTTCCACACCTAACCTCCAATCAGAGGAGAATATTTAGCAGTTTTTATGTTTGGGTGACTGATTGGTGCAGCTCTGCTTTAACCCTTTATATGGCACTCAGTCATATACTTTGAAAATCAAAATTTCAAGCCAATAGTGTTATTGGAAGAAAGAAAGAAATGCATAAAAAAACACTCTGAGAGTGAAAGCAACACATTTAACAACCTTAGAGGCAATAATGCTGATACTGGCACTTTTTAGTTTATAAGCGTAAATATAATTGTTAACTAGGCTTATTAACTTTTTATGTTTACTTTTTAACTTTTCAAATTAGCTTTTTACCCTTTTTTCTTGACTTGTTAACTTTTTTTAACTTAATTTACAGTAGGTAATATATCATTAAAGGGCTCATCTAATTGGTCAAATGCCAAAATAAGATGTGCAGACATGCAGCAGGATCTTTACTGAATGGCTGGATATAGATCTTCTGCTTCTAGACCTCACCGAGGGAGGTTTGTCCTGTGATCAAAAACGGTTATTTGTCCTATAAAGGGTTGACAGATGCCAAACCTGAGGATATAATTGGTGTATATGTGTCAGAGGTTATAGTTTTATGACAGATCAGAAAGTGTTTCCATGTCATACTTATTTCCAGAACACCATCAGAGAAAAAGATTTCCACAAACCTTTCTTAAACTCCTCCAGCATGGCATCCAGCTTGGTATCATGGAAGACAAAGTGGACTGGGTGGTTGTAGAACTTGGTGATGGTCTTCAGGGTGGTGCAGTCGTCTGGATCCACAAAGGCCAGGTCCTTGACGAAGAGGATGTCCACTATGTTGGACCGCTCGTCCTCATACACAGGGATCCGGGTGTAGCCGCTCTCCATGATCTCTGACATGGTGTTGAAGTCGAGCACAGCATCACTGCTGATCATGAAGCAGTTGCCAACAGGCGTCATCACGTCCTCCACCGTTTTGGTCCTGAGCTCCAGCGCCCCTTGGATCATGTTGAGCTCCTCTTTCACCAGGTCGTTGTAGGGTTCGGTCACTTTCAGCATTTCCACCAGCTTCTCCCGGTTGTAGACGGTTCCGATCTCCTGCCCAAGCACGCAGTCTAGCAGCTTGCTGATGGGCCAGGAGAGAGGGAAGGTGAGCAGCATGAAGAGCTTGGTGAGCATGATGGTGTTGGCACCCACTGCCAGGCCGTGCCGGGAGCACAGCGCCTGGGGGACGATCTCCCCAAAGATCACGATGCCCACGGTGGAAGCCATCACGGCCCCGAGTCCGGATTTAGTGAGGTCATCCAGGAGGATGGTGAGGGTGGTGTTGACCAGGACGTTGCCGAGCAACAGCGAGCAGAGCAGGTAGTTCCCCTTCCTGCGGATGGGTTCGATCTTTCGGGCGTATTTCTTCTCCTTCTCGGTGCCGCAGCTCTGCACGATGCGGAGCTCCATGGGGTCCAGCGCCATCAGCCCCAAGTTGAGCCCGCTGAACATGCCGGACAACACCAACAGGCAGCAGATGAGGATCACCTGCAGCCAAATAGGCAGCAGGGACTTCTCTTCCTCCACCACCCGCAGCCTGCCGTCATTATCATCCAGCAGGATCCACTTCTGCTCCTGGGGTTGGAGGACGCACAGCCCGAACACTTTGGACATTTCACTTTTCCGAAGCTGCTTGATGGTGAGGTTGACAAGTCCGGCGGTGTTCTGGTTGCTTACCTGCATGGGCCCATTCACTAAAACATCCTTGGAGTGTTCCGGACAAGTCCTGTTTAACTGAACGTCACGCGCGCCAAACTGATCGTCCTCTCCAACGTTGTCGTAAAGTTCGGCGAATCTGATGAGTTCCGAGCTGTTGGGAAACAGGTAGAGTCCGTAGAACCTGATGAAGATCTCGCTGCCCTCGGTCACCTGAATAACTCCCGTCTCGGTGGTCTCGGCCGGCCTGTTGCTCTTCTCGAGCCGCATGCCGATTATCCGAGTTACGCCCCGTGACTCCGGGACCGCTGCCTCGGTCTCCCTGGCCGCCAACACGCAAAAAAACAAAAATAAATTGAGAGGAAAGCCCAGTCCACTTGAATCTGTCGCCATGTTTGTTTCACTCTATGCCAGCGGCCGAACTGACGTCAACTACTCTTTTCCTGGAGCCCGCCCATCAGTTACCATAATCAGTGGCAGCCAATCAATGAGCGTTACGTCACACAAAACTTTGGACCGAGCCCCCTATAAGTTTAGAGTTTTTAAAGTCGCCTGATTGTTTTTGTTTTAAGGTAGTTTAACTTGAGCAACTGACGTTTTTTTTAAGTTAGCGTTACAGTTGAAGGATTATTTTCATTCATGAAATTAATTCTAAAATTAAACTGCTTTGTTTTGTTTGTGTTTTTAAGAATTTTCATTTCGACCCCTTCTCCATTTAGTACCCCGATTTTCACGTCATTTTTACGTCACTTTCTCGTCACTTTTACTACTTCATTTTTGTTGGCCAACTCTCATCAGTATTCTTAATCAACTGAATATCAGTTATTTTCTTAGTTATGTGTGATTTCTTCTATTTTAAAGATGAATAGTATTTCAAAAACTACCAAATTCCACTATTATTTTATTGGTTTTTTTTTTTTGGGTAAACTAAAAAAATTAAATATAAAATTACCCCTGATGAAAAAAAAGCAAGCAAATAAAATAAACAAGTAAATAAATAAAGAGCCTTATGATGGTAGAATATATGTTGTTGCAATTTCTAAACTTTTGTTTTTTTCTCTTATTTTAGAGAATGACTTAAAACTTAACTGAAACATATTTAGCTTTATGAGTTTACTAACTCCATAGGCTACACTATCGTGCAGATCTCTTATGCAATGCACTAAACTGCTTTTGTCAACTGTTTTATTTTGGTTTTATTAAGATGCAGGTCCAATTTAAATCAAATTAGTTATTCAAGGTTGAAAATTGGTATATAAAAAGAGCAAATAGGTCTCAGAGCAATGACATCAAGGCTTTTTTTTGGTTGATCTATAAAATACCAAGTAATATGTATTTTACAGTAAGTTGAATGATGACTTGGAAAACATCTTGATTGATGTTATCCAACTACATCGTTTATAATCAAAGGTGAGAAAGGGCAATCAGTATGTTTCCTCTGTTAGACAGTCTTCTCTTTAGTGTTTATCTTCAGCAGTGAGAGAGTAGCTTAGGGACTGTCCATGGTGAAGTTTTAGCACCACCTTGTGGTCAAAGTATGAAAGCAACTTGTTTTTGATCACTTGTTGCTTAGATATTCAGACAGGTCTGGATTTCCACCTTTGTTTGTAGATATTTAAGAAATACATTATATTTCAACTACTCGTTTTTAGTACAAAAACAAAGAAACAGTCCCGTATTTCCCTATAAATGTTACTGTTGGTATAAACGAATACTTAGTAAATTTACTTTAATGGAATTTTGTTTGCACAGGGTTTATACAGAACACAATTTAGTTGCATACAGCTCATGCAAATATGATGAAATCACGATATAATAAGATAAATACGCAACATTAAGTGCAGCAGCAATAGGAATGTATCATATTGCAAGGAGAAAGAGACTCAAATAAAGACTCATCAGCACAGTGCACATTGTTTTCCTCAAGACTTGTGTGTTATCCAACCATCCATTCTTTGTCTTTTATTCACCAAACATTCAGTCACTGGGATTACAGCTTTGATAGGGAAAGCCATCCATCTGTCTCCCCGCTGCATGCTCCGGCTTTTTCTGTTAGGAGCTCAGTAATACCTAAAGCACAGGATTCTCTTACATTATCCACCAAGTTCTTGCTCTTTCCGAGCCTTATTATTGTTGTGACCTCACAACACAAAGGAAAACAGACATTGCATGTTCCAAAAAATGCTTATCTTGCATAGAAACATTGACGATGAACATCTTTAGAACAACAAAATAAACCTTGATGGTTTATTTTGGTTTATAGTGGTGAAGACTCTGAGGGTCCGGCAGCAGGGGTAGTAAAACTGGTGACCCAGAGAGATTTTCTTCTCGATTAATGCTTGCTTCTTTTCAACCTCTTTACTTTAATTTACTTCCGTTGACACTGTGATGAAAAGCAGGTATAGGCAGTGGATGATGGAGCGCTCTGCTATGTAATCCAGATATTTTGACTGCAGTTATTAAAGAATAAAATTGTTTATGTATGTTAAATCTCATTCTTTAAAGAAGCAGCCTTAAATGCAAGGAGGGAATACAGAGGGAATAAACAATTATTTATATAGTCAGTGTTTGGGGTATTCTCAGTTAATTCACTAATATTATGTGGACATGTGACATCTAGTGGTTAATGTGCATCAATATGTGAGGAGATTTTCACACATTACTGTTATAGTCATGGAAATAAAATGATAAAATATCTGTTTTTTGTTTTGTTTTGTTCTGTTCCAGATAATATGACTCAATGTCTTTGGAACACATTAGTTCCTTTTGCAGTTTAACTCTGTACATTAAACAACAATATGCAACAAACGGCATTCATTTATCAGCCTCCCTCTATGTCAAAGGTTTTTTATTCAACTCTCCATTTAATAGCAGCAGCAGAACAGGCAGTAATCAGCTACAACCATCCTATTGTCATCAGGAGTTCCTCAAATTAAATAAGGATGCTTTTTTGTTTTTAATGACTTGTCTTTGTACTATCGTTGTGTTTATAGATTATTTTTAGCTAATATTGCATGCGAATTGTTTGAGTCCTCTATAAATATTTTTGTCTTATCCTATGGACATTTGAAAAAAAACTTACATTTTGTCAGAACTTGACGATGAGAAGAGCAAAATGTCTGAGAAGGTTAAAAAAAAAACAGATTAGAACCTTTAGCAGCATTTTTTTCCCCCCTACAATTCTTTTGTATTTCAGTAGAAACCATTTTAAATTTGGTTCAAATATTTATAATACAGGAGTTAGAGCACATTGTGGGAAAGGAGCAGTGACCTCAGCAGGCAGGATGGCTGTGTTTTTTCCCCCCTCCTCCTACAGCTTGAGTAATATTAAAATTCTGAATTAAAAAACACAGTTTTCAAGGGTCCCAGCTGCAGGAGATATGCAATGATTTGGCTCAGTCTCATCCAAAAGCCTGGTAGACTGATTACAGGGGCGGTGGTTAAGAAATGTCACAGTGATAAACGTTTGCATTCTTTCTCCTTTACTACCCTAAGAGGAGAAATTTTGGTAACACCTAACTGTGCAGATTTCTTATGGGAATATTATCAAATCTACCATGTAAAGAAGAAATAATTTATCAGTACTCCAATACATTAGGACTGGGACCCATACAGGTAAAGCAGCAGAGGCTAATATACTGTGCAAAAGTTTTTCCAACCCTTTAACCTTTTTTACTTTTGGTCAATTCAAAGCACAGCAAATTAGCAGCTAACTAAATGTAAGCCTAAGAATACTATTACAGACTTTCAACTGTAAATGAACAACTGTGCGCTCTGCAAAGCTGGACCCTATGGAAGAGTTGAAAAGAGGAAGCAGTTGTTTGAAGAAAAATAAAGCAAATACATGGAGGAGATGATATTACTGAGACCATAATAAAGCTCATTAGTGATATTTAGATTTGTATGTATGTGTATGTATATAATGCTGAATACTCCATGGTGAAACATGGGGGTGACATCATCATGGTGTGGGGATCCTTTTCTTTAGCAGACACAAGAAACCTGGCCAGAGTTGAGGGGAAGATGGATGGATGAATAGAGGAAGGAAACCTGTTAAAGGCAGATTGAAACAAAGGTTCCTCTTTCAGAACAGAAATCCCAGTAACACAGACAGAGCTACAGGAGTGGTTTAGATCAAAACATATTCATGCTTGGATTGGCCAAAGCAAACTTTAGACTGATGCCTGATTCTGAACCACTGACAAGACATAAAAGCTATCCTCCTTCCAAGCTAACGGAACTTTAGCTTCTGCAAAGAATATATAGCAAAGGATGTTAGTCCTGAGATGTGAAGCTGGGGGGAAAATGCACTAAAAATGTTGCTTCTATAAAGTATTGGTTTAGAGGGGGTTTCATTCAAATGCATGCCACACTTTTAACATATTTGTAATAATAAAATAAAAGCTGTGTCTCCCCTAAAATGGTATCGGTGACCTATTTGTTGGTACTTGCTGATACTGATATCACCATATTACTGATGGATCGGAGCCCTACCTGATACTGGTATCGGTGCAACACTAGTAATTATACCAAGATTGAAAAAAAATGTATAAACATTTTGCATTTAGGAGTAAAAAAATCATCTGTGAATATGCTACATGCTAGAAATATACCCATAATTCCTCAAGTGGAAAAGTTTGAAATTCACTTGGTTTAATTTAATAAAAAATATTCTTTAAGGAACCCTTCGCTATCAGATTATTAATTGATTAATTGAAAAAATAATCGACAAATTAATTGATTTGCAAAATAATCTTCAGTTGCGGCCCTAGTTGACACAAAAAATGTTTAAAGTTCCGGGATGTAAATAATAAAACACATTTAGACTAAATTTAAGTTAAAGAAAACACATCTTTGTGAGTGATCATATTGATCGATTATTTAAATAATCATATTGATCGATCATTTAAATAATCATCAACTAATTTAGCAATTGATTAATCATTAACTGGAGTATAGGGCCACTAAAATGTGACTTTAGCCGACAGAGCAACACACTCAGAGCAGGAATTATAACATAATTGTAAAAAATATGTAAACATTTTTTATTTGAGATATAAAAAAAAGTTTTTGTCTTTCAATATTCTCTATCAAGAACTCCTCAAGAGGAAAAGTTTCTGTTTCACCTTGTTTCATTTAGTAAAAGATCTTCTTTAAGGAACCTTTAGCTATCTGATTATTAATCGATTTATCGAAAAAATAATCAACAGATTAATCAATTTGAAAAATGATCATTAGCTGCAGCCCTACAGTCATATGTTTCTATTATGCAAGTGCGTTTTTTATAGTAAAGGACTAAATGTAACACAGCCTTTTATTCAATTCATTTTATTTATATAGCACCAATGAGTCGATGCAATCAACTGGTTTTCCTTAGATAGAAAACTTTGTATCAATTTGACTGTATGATCTGGTTGAACTGTAAAGTGCCTTGAGATGACATGTGTTGTGAATTTGGCACTATATAAATAAACTGAATTGAAATTGAATTGAATTCACAACACATGTCATCTCAAGGCACTTTACAGTTAACCAGATCATACAGCCAGATTGATTCAATGTTTTCTATCTAAGGAAAACCAGTTGATTGCATCGACTCATTGACTCGAATGCAATCCCTCACAATAAGCATGCTCGTAGCGACAGTGGAGAGGCAGTGGAGAGGAAAAACTCCCTTTTAACAGGAAGAAACCTCCAGCAGAACCAGGTTCAGTGTGAGCGGCCATCTGCCGAGGCCGACTGGGGTACAAGGAGACAGAAGCAGAGATGCAAAAAGCAGCTCCGAGCCAACTCCCATGTCAGAGGATAAAGAGAGCAAATCCAGCCAGTCAGAGTCAGAGAAACAGTACTATACTGGAAAACAGGCCGATCTCCAACATCTATAAACAAATTAAATCATCATCCTATCCCTTAGCAAAATGTAGTACAATTGAAGTAAATTCTATTAAGAATACTTAAGTATAAGTACAAGTTTAGAAAGTATACCAAACAATGTACTTTTAGTGTACTTGAAGTATTACTAAAGTAATACTTCTTCGAACTAAATTGGGACATTTTTAAGTTTACTAAAGTATACTTAAAGTATACTTTAGTAGACAATAAAGTAAACAGTGACTATATTATTGATAAGTATATGAAATATAGTTTAGAATAAGTAAACTCTAAGTGCACTGCCTGATTTTAAGTATGAAATTAGTGCACTTTTAGTATAATTGAATAAACTACTTTTTGCTTAGGGATATTGCTTACTGTCTGACTGTTAACATAGCTCCTTATGCAACAACGGGGTATTGTAAACTGTAAACATGTTGTTCATATCTAATTATTTAGTTACCTCTGCATAACTGTAGATATTCATCCTATTGCTGCTCTTAGCTAAATAATTGAATGTATTTTAAGGTTCATATTTCTTTAGCTAAAAAAAAAAAAAAGTGTGACATGAATATTTTCCATCTTCAATTAAGTCTTCATTTAGTTACTCATGTCTCATTCTTGCCAACTAGATGTCATTATAGCTCCAGATATCTTAATTAAATATTTGTGTCACGTGACCTCGTTTGGCTTCCTTGTTCAAGTTCTGTGAAAATCTAATAGTGAGCATCGGAGGGGAGTGGAGGCTCCGGGAGGGAGGAGAAACACAGAGGAGGGGAATGGAGCAGGAGCGAGTGGGTTCTGCAGGGCCAACACTTTAGACTTCCATTCTTTTTATTTCTGTTTGCACACAGAAACCCGCAGGGAGACGCGCGGCTTTACGGTAAGAACCACGCGCCTTCTTCTTTTCACTTCTTTTAGTCCTCCGCTGATCTTTGAGGAGCCAAGGTGAAGCTTTCAGAGAAGGTTTTTAGGAGAAAAGATGTAGGAAGAAAGGAACTGCCTCCTCCCCGGGGAAAACTAACGAGAAAGTAGCGGAAAGAATGAAAAAGGAAGAAGTGGAGTTAGTTATAATTGGGTACAGAAAGGGAAAAGTTTTCTCTAACTTCTATGACAGTTATCGACTGTATTTGCTTACTTTTGTGTTTCTAAACTACTTTCTATGAGTTTTAAAACATTTCAAGAACTAAAAAAATGCTTACAGTCTGTTTTTGTTTACAAAGCATTTGTTAAATGTAACAAAGCCTTTTTTTATTCAAGGTGTAAAATGAACCAGATGAAATTCCGTTTTTACTCAGACTGACTGGTTTTAAACTGTGACCGTAAACTGTGACGTCACTGACGATGAGTCATTTTTCTGTGCATCATCTGGAGGCTTTTCAGACTTTATTTACATCCTCTATCAGCAGCGGTGCTTTTAAAGTAGCTTATTAATAAGCAGCTCTGAGGCATCATATCATCTTTTAATTCTTATAAAGGTTTTTGTTTTTTTTTAGCTCCCTTTTCACTTTTTCTATGGATTTTTAACACAGTTTTTACTTGATTTGATGTGATCTTTTTTTTAATTCTCTCAGTTATTGGTTCACCCTATATTTAAAATATATTTGTTTATCTTTTACTTTTATTTAGGCATCAATAAGTGTCTGATTTTAGATCATTCTGATACTTTGTGGGTGAGAATACCACATTATAACTTAATTACATTACACTGGCAACTTTATTAGGTACTGGGTTGAATTTCCTTTTCCCTTCAGAACATTGTTAGAGTATGGAGGACCAACTCTGCCATATTTAAAAATACATTTTTAACCTTTAAAATTTTAAAGAACTTTTAACTTAATATTCTGGGCTCTATGATTTAATAAGATGGGCCACCAACCAATGAGCAGAAGTTGACCATCTAAGACACACCCCCTCCTTATTTGCATAAAGAGGCAGAAATGCATACAGAAATGTAAAAACGACAGGCAGAAATAACTAGCATGGAAGAAATTAATAGGGTAAAAAAGTACAAAGGCAAAATAAAACAAACATGCACATTAAATAAATACTTAAAAAAATGAGTAAAAATAAATAAAGTTGAAGATTATAATTTACAAAAATAAAGAAGGTAATTATTTCAAAGACGAATAAATAAAGAAGCTAGTTAAAAGAGATATATACATTTATGTCTCACTGTATAATTAGTTTCTACCTACATTTATTTGTTTATTGTATTTTTTGGGGCAATGATTAAATGCTTATTTATTTATTGAGCATTTATTTATTTATGTGTTTATTCTTAGATATGGCAGAGTTGGTCCCCAATATTAAAGGAGCAATAACCAAGAAATATTTTGTGAAATCAACCAAAAGTATTGTCATTTGTAACACAGGATGGAAATAACATTCCCTATAAACTATAGGTCTACTCCATCAACAAGATCTTTGTCCAGATTTCCCCTTTCAAACCAAGAGAGTTATGGTACAGAACACCTTTGGTCCAGTGTGTTTACTTCCTGGTTCCTAAGCCAATCATATGAGAGTTCTCAGGGCTGCCAAAGCAGAGTGTAGAAAGTATTTGGTATTTTATGTTCGCAAAAGAGCAGCAGCCTGCAAACATGGAAGCCAGCAGGAGAAGTGAGCCAGAAATAGTCACAACAATATTTAAGTAGGATGAGCATCCTTCAAACTTACTTTGGCTGAATCAAAATAGTGCGTGATTCTGCTGGAAGATGGTTGCACTAGGCTCATTTGAGACAAGGCATGTTCATTTATATAGAACCGATTACTGGGAGTTTACTTCAAACATGTGGGCAATAAGAACTAAACACTGTCTCACTATGTTTGCTTCTGTTTCTGGTCCTTGTAGGCAGCTCTAGAGATTTTTATCTGCATGTGCTAATTGGGATGGGGGGGGTGGGGGGGGGGGGCATTGAACTAAGGGTGCATCATCCTTTGTTCCTACATTTTTAATGAACACAGATGCTCAAAAAAATAGAGGTGAACTTTTAGATAGTGTTGGGCAGGGCCCCCATCCAGCACTAAAATGGTGGTATCGATATCAGCAAGTACCAACAAAATGGGAACTGATACCATTTTGAGAGCCAAAAGTTTATTCAACTATTGTCACCCATTCCAAGTAGGCAATAAAACGTTCTACTGGATTCACTTTTTGTTAGTCTTTTTCCTGCTTCACAAAGGTAGGCAGCAGCTTGACAAAGACATGATGGCAATTATTTTACATCCAAGTAGTATGCAGTTCTTCATATATACAAACACACATCAATTTCAAAAAGATGGTAATGGTATACTGTACAGCCAGGTATTGGGTATCGGTATCGGGGCCAAAACATGGCATCGGCACAACACTACTTTTAAATAAGATAAAGTCAACAATTAGGCTTATAATTACCGGTATATGTGGTGTTCTGCTATAAAAATGCATGTATAGAGTGTTATGTAGTATATAAACTGTTTCAAACACTGAATGTAAATTTATCAGATCTGGGAAAACAAAATATAGTGAATTAATTGTGAGTTCAACAGGGCTATCTGGTGGATTAGATGTAAGGTTATAAATAGATAAAGTAATTATAAATATAAAAGTACCTATAAGGTCATTGGTTAAATATCATGTACCAAATAATTTTTGCTAATATTTTCTTTGTACTGTGTAGAGCTTAAAAAAAAAAATTATGAAGTAAATATATTTCTGCAGCTGTATGATCAACTTTTTAGGCAGCACTGTGAAGAAACTATTCCAGTAACCGGTTCTAATTAAGGTCAACACATTGAACACATTTTTCAAGGTCTTGCTCAGACATTAGTTCTTTAATCCTGGAGATGTGCTGCTGGAAGGCAGACCTTGATGCTGTCTGTATGTGCCTCTTTAGGTTGAGTTCTGAGGCAATCATGACCCAGATTTAGATCCTGATTGGTGGTTGCTACCTGTATTAACTAAAACTTAGCTCTAACTTTTGAATGCTGATCTTATGGCCCAGAAGTTATCACACCCATGTGTTGATTTATTCTATGCATTTACTCAGAGCTTGAATGGGTTCCTGCTCACCTAGTGACAACATGATGTACAGCTGTGTATCATCGGCATAGCTTCGGTAAATTATGTTGTTTTTTAAAATAGGATGTGAGTTAGGGAAAACATGTAGATATTAAATAAAATGGGCCCTAAATCAGACCCTTGGGGAACGCCCTGTCCTTCAGGTAGGGTTTAAAACAGTCCAGTGCTGTACCAGGAAGGCGGACCCATTTTTAATGGTGCTCTTATAAAATAAAGTGATCAATAGTGTCAAATGCTGCACTGAGTTCAAATAATACCAGCACTGTGGTTCTTCCAGAGTCAGAATTTATACGTATGTCATAGAGCACATTAATCAGGTGGGTCTCTGCTCTGTGGTTGGATCGGAAAGCTGACTGGAAGACATCAAAGCAGCTTCTCTTTGTTAAAAGGGCATTTAAATGTTGAAACACAACTTTTTCAATAATTTTACTGATGATGGGAAAGCTTTGAGATTGGCATGTAGTTCTGCAGTTGCAGTTTGTCCCAGTTGCTCTTATTCAATAGTGGTTTGATAATTGCTGTTTTTAGTGACAGGAGGAAACACTTGTTTTTATAGCTGTGGACATGGTCAGCAACCCCAGTGAGGTAGGTTTTAATGTTTAAAAAAGGTTTGTTGGTGTAAATGGACTCAGCGTTTCCTTAAATGATCCCCACACTATTACTATTACATGAGTGTCTGAATGTGAGAGCCAAAACCAGGACTTTTCAGATAGGAGTTTCCCAAATATTTTATTGCCTATGTGTGATTTGTTGCTTCAGTTTGTTTTCACCTAGAATGAATTGGAACTGTGCGAGGTCTTCTGCTGATGTAATTCATCTGCTTCAAGGTCTGACATGTTTTGCATTACATAGATGGTTTTCGGCATACCATTGGTTTAAGAAGTTGCTAAATGAGCTTCTTTTACCTTTGTATCAAACTAGCCTTTCTTCTCCTTACCTCTGTCATTCACAGAGCAATTGTTTTCTCCATTCACTCAGTTCTCAATAGATTTATTCTTCTTTTGATAATTCTTTGGAAACCAAGTGAAATTCCCAGTAGACCAGTACTTACTAAAATACTTTGATCAGCCTGTATGGGACCAACAACTATGCAAAGTTTAAAATTCAATAAATCTAAATTTCTAGATGTCCTTTATTTTAAGGCCAAGGGTTTTGAATACTTTGCCCTGGGGCACTCCATTCTTTACATTAAGTGCTTTTGTAATTTTTTTGTCTTTGTAGATGGGATTAGTGTTTTTTTTTGTTTTTTGTTTTTTGTGGGATGTTCTGGTCCTGATGAACCTCGATCACAAAGATAAATAGCTTCAACCTGTCATGCACCCAGCGTGTCAATATTTGACGAGTTGGGTTAAGAACGCTTTGGCCCAGGAAGTGGAATTAAGCATTCAAAAGCATTGAGCTCCAGACTGTTGGATGCACTAGGGCTACATATGATCAATCTCCCAGCTGTAAGCAGACTCATTCCTCAGGGATGAGCTCTATCAAGATGGTGTCGTCTGTAAACTTTCGGAGTTTGACGGAATAGTGACTGGAGAGATTTGAGGGAAACCGTTGTTGATGGTCCTGGACTTGAAGACCTGTTTTCTCAGCTTCATGTGGTGCTTCTTCTCTGTCAGTAAGTCTGTGTTCCACCTGCAAGTTGAGTCAGGGACGCTCGGCTGAGAGCTTGTATTGAAGGTAGAACTGAAGTCTACAAACAGGATCCTAGTACAGTTTGCTGGGTATTCCAGGTGCAGCAGGATGTAGTGACAGGCCATGTTTATAACAAAACCCAAAGACCTGTTGGCTCTGTAGGGAATGCAGCGGGTCCAGGAGTGGGTTAG